GCGCTCCATTTTTACTTTGTAGAGCTGTATCTATTGCTACTTTAAACATATGATGCAGTGTAATAAACTGTAGTGCTTTCATTGTAGTACAAAGATGGTAGTGAATAACATGGAAAGCAGCAAGAAACTCCTGAAAGCTCAGATGAATGAAGCTGTAGACTTTCCTCTGATGAATCACAGATTCCTCCTTAAAGATCTCAGTGCAAATCCCAGAATACACTGAGGCGTCAGTGAGGTCTATGCCACTCTCAATCAGGTCCTCCTCGTAGAACATCACATTGCCCTTCATCAGCTGTTTGAAAGCCACTTCAGCAAGTTTCACAATCACTTCTCTGTTGGACTGCAGGAGTTTCTCTGGATCTCTCTCTTCATACTTCTGCTTCCTCATGTTGAGTCCCTCAAATAATCTCTCATACTTGTTCTTCAAGCTGGTTTTATGCTGGTCTTTGAACCTACGTAGTTTATCATCAACTGGTTTCTGTAGGTCTCTTGTTTTCTCCTGCTGGGCTTTTTGAGTGTAATATTGAACAGAATCATCAGATCTGGATCTTCCAATAATGTTGTATGTTTGTAGAACAGGATATGTTCTAGATGTCTTTCTGCACTGAGGACAGTCATAGTTTTCTGATGGTCTGGACTGATCCCAGTATGTATTGATGCACTGTCTGCAGAAACTGTGTCCACAGGAGATAGAGACCGGGTCTCTCAGAACCTGCTCACAAACTCCACATCTAGACTGATTGTGGTATAGATGATCCTTTCCACCACTGTAGGGACAAAGCACAGACATCACCTTACAACTTCAGAGAGTTACATCTGTTGCTCTTCACAGATATACAGTTGATATAAAATGTCTACACACCCTTGTTAAATCTTAAAAAGGTTTTTGTGATGTAAAAATGAAACAGAAAATATATGTCAGAACTTTTGCACCATTCACATGTTTACATGTTCATATAATCTTTGAATGGAATAGAAAACAAACATATTGGGCATATTGGGCACACCCCAAGCAGGATAACTCACACCAAGCTGGAATTGGAGAGCTTATTTTGAGTTCTGAGCAGCAGACTAAACCAATGAAATGGATGAATATAGAATTGAGCATTCAGGCTGTATTAAGTGGAGTGGTAACTGAGGCAGAGGATATAGATGCATTTGCTCAATACATAAACGGATAAATGCTGCCTAGTGTTGGAGCATGCAGGTTGAGATTTTTTTTAATGTCTATAATGAGGAGCGAGGTCTGGGAAATAATCATACCCTAATAGGGCTGTCACGATTCGTCGATTCTATTCGATTTTTAAAAATCCTCAACTTCATTTTGCCTGCGTCAACTAACCGGCAAAATACCGGAAGTGGCGCGTTTTACGGACGAGAATCCATAAAACACATTATTAGACTGTTTTCCAAGGCCTCATGATATATTAAACCCGTTTAAAAATGGGTATAATTAAGTTATGCATAATTAAGCATAACTGTGAATTCACAAATGCTACGATTTAATTAAATAATTATATGTGATGCAGTTATAGGCATAGATATATATACATAGATGCCTCATTAGCGACTGTTTCTATGGGCCGCTATACGTAAGCTGTCCGTCATATTGTAACGGTCAACTTGACGCCATTCACCATAGTAATCACTGAATATTCGAAAGATGCCACAATCCTGCACAGAACAGCTCAACGGCTCTGTGAGAACCATACAGTCTATGATGAATGATGTCAAGTTGACCGTTCCAAGATGGCGGCCGCATCTACTATAGCGGCCCATAGAAACAGTCGCTAATGAGGCATCTACGTATATATACCTATGGTTCTGAGTGGCTGTTAGTGTCTTGCTATTGTGTTCTATGTGGTTGTTAACATGTTGCTAGTGGTTGTTATCGTGTTGCTAGAGTGTTCTGAGTGGATGTTAGCATGTTGCTACAGTGGTTAAGGTCGTTAGCATTTTGATATGCAGTTTCTTGTATTCTGAATGGTTGTTAGCGTGTTCTGAGTGGTTGTTAGCATGTTGCTACAGTAGTTAAGGTTGTTAGCATGTTGATATGCAGCTTCTAGTGTTCTGAATCGTTGCTAGCATGTTGCTAGAGTGTTCTGAGTGTTTATTGTTAACGTGTTGCTATGCAATTGCTGGAGTGTTCAGGTTATTAGTGTCTTGCTAGTGTGTTCTGGGTGGATGTCCGCATGCTGCTACAGTGTTCTGAGCATAGATATGTATAGATTCCCCATTCGACCGCTCCAGGCACGTAGAAGCGGCCGCCGTCTTGGAACGGTCAACTTGACGTCATTCACCATTCTGTCTGCAGGCCTTTATTGTAATGCGTGATGTACATTAGCTCTATTCTCTGATCTATAATAGAGATTATATTGTATTATTTTATTTTATAATTATATATAGATCAGTGGCTCTATTACATTATAATACAGTATTTTAACAGTTTTGTTCAATAAAACCATATGATTTAAAGGCTATTGTACACTTAGCCTACATCTAGTTTTATTACCCCAAAAATAATTATTAATTATAATATTTTATTATTAGTAGACTAGAATACGTGGACATGTTGTTATTCTTACACTATAATACTGAACTTTGATTTCAGTGATTTGGACTATGAAATGGACACTTGCTTCTTGCACTCTGTTGCACTTTACTTTTGCTTTAAAAAAGGATTTCATAGAAATTTGGATTTCATTTGGAGTTTCACTACTGAAGCCCTCTGTTCATTTTTTTCATCATGCTGGAGATGTCTGTTTAAATCTGTTGTTTACACATTTCTAAGAGTACTTTTAATACTTACAATTTTTAATAATAATAACTTTTAATAATACAATTTTAATACTTGATTCTAGTGGACTCTAAACATTGCATTTATTTAATGTGAAAACCCCAACTGTTGGGGTTAATTTAAACATATTTTTTTCCCTTTATAGTTGCACTCACAGCTGTAATGAATAGAAGCCCAGAACATGTGGATATATTGACATTAAGAACATGCTGACTTTCTCAGACTTTTGTAATTATTTTCTTTTTATTTCATTTTTATTAGGTTTGTTTACATTTTTACTCTTATAGTTTTACATTTCATCAATGGCTTGTTTACATTTATACTTTTTTATGGTACACTACTGAATGGCAAAGTTGCAAGTTTAATAAAATGTTCTTTCAAATTTTAGATTTTTTTGTGGGGAATTAATCATTTAGATTAATTGATAAATTAGTTGATAGATTAATCGAAATAAAAATAGTCGTTAGTGGCAGCCCTATACCCTAATGAAACATGACAACAAACACACAATTGCGACAGTATATGGTTTATCTTTGCTTTTCTAATCTATACATCTCAGGTTTTTCATACGAATAAAGTATATTTATAATGCCATGCTAACTGATATAATGTTTACCACTGAATAGAATGCTATATAATAATATATAATTTCTGCCTTGATCTGTGATACCACGTCAGATCACAAAATATTTTTTTTATTTGTAGTTCATTTCAATAGTCCTGTGGTGTGACAAACACACTTGTTTTTATTACTAATATTCTATAATGCTGTTTAATTAAAACGATCACTTTTAGATGAAGTACGTCACACTGCATGTCTTGAAATGTGACACCTAATACACATGTAGGCAGAGGTGGAAAGTAACGAATTACATTTACTCACGTTACTGTAATTGAGTAGCTTTTTTGTTTACTTCTACTTTTTAAAGTAATTTTTAAAATCTGTAATTTTACTTTTACTTAAGTATATTTAGTTTGAAGTATTGTACTTTAATACATTTTAAAACACATTAATTACTGAGTAAAAAAAAAAATCGCTCCCTTGAAACTACTGCAGTAAATAATGGGCAGGAGAGCAAACAGGCACTAAAATCACAAGAAAGATGCAGACGGACAAGACAGACGTTATGGTGCAGACCCAGCTGAAAACGATAGTCCGTCGTATTCTGCTGAAGTTGAACTCGAAGGAAATGAAGTGAACCCCTGGCCATATTTAATCTCTATTTTGCAGTGAAAGCTGTTTGCCTAGGGAGACCAAACTAGCAGCTTATAAAATCTCGACATCAACCCTTCGCAAGCATGTAGAGTTAAGGTAAATACTTGCATTGTTGCATTGGTGGTTAAAATGAAGCTTTGACAGTTTAGCAAAAGGTTTTGCACAAATTAGCCAAAAAGACAGTGGTGCAGGGTGTGCAATATATATCGTCTGCGATAATATCGTAATTGTTGTTTTAACGATGTGCGATTTGACATGATCAGTATTTTGCCAAAAACCAAACAAAACACTCCTACAGAGTGCTGTGAAGTCTAGTAGATTAGACTAGAGCGCGCACATTTAGAGTGCTTTCTTTCACTGCGTGATTTAGTCTGTTAAAATGCATTTAGAATGATTTCAAAATTTAAGATATAGGGGCAGAAAATGTATATATTTATATAATTAATTCATATAGTAAATCAATATCACACAAAGAGTGCCGTTTTGTCCTCCAAAAATCAGCATGATTACATATAGATTTTTTTTACAACAGTTCAATAAACAATAAGTTAATTAAGAGGCTTGTGTTTTAGACATTGCCTGTTTTTGCTCTACTTCGACAACAAAAATAATTTGAAACAGCCACCATAGCACAGTTTTGCGTCTCTGAGCAATGACAGTGTTTTGTTCCTGAATGAATAAACCGTTTAAATGATTCGGTTCCGAAGAAGCTTCTGTGTTTCCTCTGCATTGAAAAGATTAATTTTGTTGATACTGATTTAATTTGCCTGGTAACTAAACTATATCTAAACTGTGCAGGGCTGAGTTTGACACCCTTGGCCTATACCATTTTTGCCTCCCTCTCACTGTTAAAATGTAACTAAGTAATTTTTACTCGGAGTAAATTTTAAACGAGCTACTTTTTACTTTTACTTGAGTAGATTTTTAGACTGGTACTTGTACTTAAAGTAAGTAATTTTTACTCGGAGTAAATTTTAAACGAGCTACTTTTTACTTTTACTTGAGTAGATTTTTAGACTGGTACTTTTACTTGTACTTAAGTACAATTTCATTAATGTAATGGTACTTTTACTTGAGTAGAATATTTTCATACTCTTTCCACCTCTGCATGTAGGTTATGTGAAGTTTTTTATTTTTGTTCCAAGCTAGGCTCACTGGAAATACGTGGTTGCGGTGACATTCCTGCAACACTGATATTACGTACCTTACAGCATGTGTTACAGCAGTTTTAAAGTGATATGTCCACTGAATGGCGCTAAAACGTGAATTCAATACGTGAATTGTGGCCACATTTTTATTACATTGGTACAGGCATGTATTGTTGAGTTTCTATTGTGTTGCTTCAGGTACATATTGCGGCGGTTCAGGATTTCAGATGTCAGTGAAGTGTCACTAAAATGTTAATGTTTTATTGTGTTGGAAATTCCCCTTACATGATGGTGTTAAATGCAAAAGTAATACAAAAATGTATTCGTTGATGCAATCATGCTATTTTAACTTTCTTATATGCAGGTTTAAGCTGTTTTTTTTTTAACTATACCAGCATCATGGAGGGCGTGTGCTAGAGGGAAGATATGTTGCTCTAAGATGATTGGAATAAGATGGTGTCTTGTCATAAACTATCACTCCCAGGTCACCTTGCAAGGAAGCTAGAGGGCAAGATGGCTGCCTTTTAAAGACTAAAAAGCGCAGGTTGCTTTGTGCCAAGTTCACACTGCACGTGTAACCCCTCTCTCCCAGGTCCTCTCCGCCACACCTCGTTCTCGCTCCGAGTGGGTCTCGAACCCGGGTCTCCAGCATGGGAGGTGGATGCACTAACAAGGAGGCTAAAGACTGCAGCCTCTAGCGTCAGTCGCTAGTGCGTCTCTTGAGATCAGGGGAGTGAGGTTTACCTGCACAGCACTTACTCGCTGGCCTCTGTTACACACGATTTTAGCCCGATTTTTTACTCGCCGACAGGTTTTGCGAAATCACTCATAATCGGAGGCAAATCGGTACTTGTTCACGCGAGTGACAATCACGCAGTGCGAATTATCAAAGACACGATCTGAGAGAATCGCCGACGCGTCGCCGACGGACGTGAAATGTTTGGCATGCTAAATATCTGGAGCTGTCAGCGATTCACAGTCACGCTGTGTGAAATGAGTTCTGACTGAAAAACACATCGGCGATGACCTACAGCCAATGAGAGCCCAAGATACAGGGCAGCGGGAAGTTCGGGGGGGAGTTATATGAAACGTAGTTTGAGGACCAGTGTTGCCAAATCCGCGATTGCCGCCGGTTGTTTTTTATGTCAGCAGGTTGAAGCGACCCCAATAACGTGATATTTAGGCCCTGGAATGTGAATTGTACCAGGAGAACCCCGACAAAAAAATGTGTATTTTACCCCCGGAACGCTATTTTTACTGGGGGACCCCCTCGAAAGCAATTGGGCTATTTTCAGACTAGTTTTGAGTAGTAATTGGGCAGGTTTTGTAGTGAAAACCTGGCACCCTGCACCAGAGAGCGCTGTCGCGATTCTTCCTATTGTAAAGTCATGCAGTGTGTAACCTCCTGTCTCGTTCCATCGTTCAGTGTGAACACAGCGACAACTGAATGCTACCCCAGATAGTCGTTCAGTGTGAAACCAACAGTGATGCGACGTCTTTGAAAATCGTGCAGTGTGAACTCGGCATTAGAGAGAGGGGGCAGATGCAACTTTAATGAGCATGATCTGAGAGGAGGAAAAATAGTTTTTTTTGTGCCTGGAAAAGACACACACCACTGGTGTTGGAAGAAGTAAAGACGATTAAGTTATTTTGTTTGTGTGCTGACGAGATTTAAGTTGTAAACCTGAGAACTTCTGTTTGATTATTAAACAACACCTGCATGCTGAGGAGACTGTTGAAGCTGTATTTATCGGAAAACTGTACAGGTTAAAGATCGCAACCTCTCATGCTGCCACACCATATGAAGATGTATATGACGCTAATGTTCAAAAGTATCAGTTTTTGAATCTCACAGCATGATAAAATTGTTTTGAAGTCATAACATAATACTATGCAAGGAATTGTGTGAAAATAGACTTTCTTAATTGAAACTTTGGCACTGTAAATTATATTTGACATTTTGTGAAAAGGAATAAATGTTATCAGAGTTATACTGCCTCTAGCATTCATTTCAACTGGAAACTGCAGCAACTCATATCTAAAGGTAAGTTTGAGTTTTGCAGAAATGTATGTAGAGGCACATATTTCCAATGAGCCTGGGTAGCTTTTTAATCTAATCTTTTTTCTCTATATGATCATTTAGTTTCACGTCTCAAGTACTGCTTTGTCTCACCTTGGGTCAAACCTTGCCGGTTCATCGCTGATGTTAATTTGTGCACAGCTGTCACTCTTCTTAGACACCCAGTTTGGTTCTGGAGATCCTGCTCTCTTGACATCTTTCTCTTCTCTCCCCTTATCATGACTCATTTCAGATACTGTACTGCCTCTTCGATGAAAAGGGGTTGTTTACGGCCTGCAAAATGGAATGAAAACTCATAATTTTGTTTCAGTTAGCATGTTACATAAATGCAAAATGGGTAATTACATTTCCATAAAACTAAATCAGAGGTCTCCAGCTCAAATTTTAGATTTTATTAATATTTTATATGATGAATGAAATACAAAAAGTAAGAAGAAAGCCAAAATATTGCATGTCATGGATGTATATTTACTGAGTAATCCACTATTTTTAGGCGGGGTAAAAATTTAAAATTTTGAGATTCTGAGCCAAATTACAGGAGGGAAAAAGTGACTTTTGAAAGATGGCAGTATCGTTAATTTTACACAGAGATTGGCAGCTCTATTAGTAAAATCTGTTTACTTTAGCGATCTTTGATGCATTTTATGCCAGTGGTGACAGTTCAAAAATGGGAAAAAAGTACTTCTGTCAGGACCACTATCGTCAAAGATCATTGACAATTAACATACAGTTTGGATTGGCGGTATGGTTCTGTTCTGGGCAAGAACTCCCTGCGCATCCATGCAGCCTAGCATGGATGAGAGCAGGGAGAGCAGCGATAACCCCCCAAAACAAAACCATATGCCATATCCCCCGACATAAAATGACAGCGAAAATTTCAAGCCTTAAGCAACAAGCATGTTGCCCTTACCCAATGAATCAAACAAGTATGTTGCCAAAATCCCGCATAAGCCGTAGCCACAAGCATGTTGCCCTTAACCAGATGACCTAACGAGTATGTTGTCAATACCTGAACAGCTTAAGCAACAACAAACAACAACCAGATAGCCTTAAGAACAAACACGTTCCCAATACAACTACAGCTTTAAGAACAAGCGTGCTCCCAATGACAACCGTAGCTTTAAGAACAAGCATATTCCCGATACAACTGTAACTTTAAAAACAAGCATGATCCCAAAAACAACCAGGTTTAAGAACACGCATGTTTCAAATACGACTAGATAGAACAAGTGTGTCCGATTTCCGAACAGGATCAACACTGAACTGACTTCACTGAACAACAACCGTTTACCGTTTCTCTTTTGAGCAGCGCCACAGCAGAAATGATTCCGTTTGCGCCATGATTGTTATTTCCATCTATCACCTCAAGCCGCTTGAATAAAGGTGACTTGACTTGATAGGTTAAAGCACAGCATATTGCAGCAACAGAATGTTGCCAATGACACAGATAAGTAAGGTACATTGTCAGTATGATCGCATATCTTAGCACGAGCATTTCACTGAAAATGACTAAATAAGCCTAAGCAACACGAATAGCCTTAGCAAGCATGTTGCCAATAATCTGAGAGCATTAAAAAGGAACTTAGCTTAGCTTCCTGAAGACATTCAAAGATGAACGGAGAGCGAAACATAGCCAGCTGGGAAGTGGATGCTTGATCTGCTTGATTCATGTGGGGAGTGAAGAACCCATCTGAACTTGTTTTTGAGTCAGTCACATAAATCATGGAGTCCATATCAATAATATAGCAATGTGTGAAGCAATGCTAACTCCCGAATCAGGCACTTATGATCAATACGGCGAAAACTTGCACTTTCCCCACGGTCCCTTACTTACGGCTCGCCAAGAGCGATCTCTCTTGGCTTAATGCAATATTGCGACAGCTTGTGCGGGCAGTGCCTATTAAATCAAGTGAAAATTATGTTGTGAAACATTATCAGCTTGCCCTTTTTCGGTACTAGTGTTTTAGATTTATTAGGGCAAGTCGTTTTTGAAGTTATGGCTGAAGTTAAGGGGTATTCATACCCCTTCAATTTTTTTCACGTTTTTTTCACATTCAAAAATACCAGCAAAACAATACATTCAAATAAAGAAAACAGTAAGACCATTCAGCTTCGTAATTTATTCATGCTGCTGTGCATGCTGGAACCCAGCATGCACTGCGGCATGAAACTTCTGTCACCATTGTTGAGGTTCCTGTGCTGATTGTTGATGTCTGTGAGTATCTAAGTGATGCTGGAGTTAAAAACTTCTTGTAAATTAATGATTAGTGAAACATTGTCCAATCTCATACAACAAAGTCACAGAGCTTCTGCAATCAATAGATATAAAAACAGATAAAACACCCACGTAACTAAATTAAACGAGATCAGTGGCTGGCAACTCTGGCATCATCATAATACAACCAATATCATCTGACCCATTTTGTCTTGCCATAAAAAATGTGCTTTTTGAACACACAGTTACAACAAACAGAAAACGTCTGAAGGTAAACGTTAAGGTTCAAGGGCACAACTAAAGCAAACACTGACCTCTGTAACGGTAACTACAAACTTTAATTTTCAATAAATCTGTTGTAATTTTCAATAAATCTAAACTGGTTTCACACAGTGTGAAAGGGTCTTAAATCTGAAGCTGGAAGTCAGTTGTTGATAATGCATTGAGTCAGTGACATTTCCGTCAACTGTCCCTGGACTCTGACATATTTTCCGAGTCCAAAAGGCTCGAGTCTGAGTCAAGTCCGAGTAAAAATGCATCCGAGTCCGTGACAAGTCCGAGTCCTTTAAAAACTGTACCCGAGACCGGACTCGAGTCCGAGTACCCCAACTCTAATATATATATATATATGTGTGTCTGTGTGTGCGTGAGTGCGTGCATGAGTGCGCGTGCGTGCGTATGAGTGTGTGAGCGTGTGTGTGAGCGCGTGACTGTGCGCGTGAGTGTGAGTGTGTGTGTGAGCGCGTGACTGTGCGCGTGAGTGTGAGCGTGTGTGTGAGCGCGTGACTGTGCGCGTGAGTGTGAGCGTGTGTGTGAGCGCGTGACTGTGCGCGTGAGTGTGAGCGTGTGTGTGAGCGCGTGACTGTGCGCGTGAGTGTGAGCGTGTGTGTGAGCGCGTGACTGTGCGCGTGAGTGTGAGCGTGTGTGTGAGCGCGTGACTGTGCGCGTGAGTGTGAGCGTGTGTGTGAGCGCGTGACTGTGCGCGTGAGTGTGAGCGTGTGTGTGAGCGCGTGACTGTGCGCGTGAGTGTGAGCGTGTGTGTGAGCGCGTGACTGTGCGCGTGAGTGTGAGCGTGTGTGTGAGCGCGTGACTGTGCGCGTGAGTGTGAGCGTGTGTGTGAGCGCGTGACTGTGCGCGTGAGTGTGAGCGTGTGTGTGAGCGCGTGACTGTGCGCGTGAGTGTGAGCGTGTGTGTGAGCGCGTGACTGTGCGCGTGAGTGTGAGCGTGTGTGTGAGCGCGTGACTGTGCGCGTGAGTGTGAGCGTGTGTGTGAGCGCGTGACTGTGCGCGTGAGTGTGAGCGTGTGTGTGAGCGCGTGACTGTGCGCGTGAGTGTGAGCGTGTGTGTGAGCGCGTGACTGTGCGCGTGAGTGTGAGCGTGTGTGTGAGCGCGTGACTGTGCGCGTGAGTGTGAGCGTGTGTGTGAGCGCGTGACTGTGCGCGTGAGTGTGAGCGTGTGTGTGAGCGCGTGACTGTGCGCGTGAGTGTGAGCGTGTGTGTGAGCGCGTGACTGTGCGCGTGAGTGTGAGCGTGTGTGTGAGCGCGTGACTGTGCGCGTGAGTGTGAGCGTGTGTGTGAGCGCGTGACTGTGCGCGTGAGTGTGAGCGTGTGTGTGAGCGCGTGACTGTGCGCGTGAGTGTGAGCGTGTGTGTGAGCGCGTGACTGTGCGCGTGAGTGTGAGCGTGTGTGTGAGCGCGTGACTGTGCGCGTGAGTGTGAGCGTGTGTGTGAGCGCGTGACTGTGCGCGTGAGTGTGAGCGTGTGTGTGAGCGCGTGACTTGTGTGTGTGTGAGTGTGAGTGTGTGTGAGTGTGTAATCTTGTTTGGGAGTGGGATGTATAATTTGAAAATGTATCAATGGAGATATTTAAGATTTGAGTGTTTACATAATCAGTTTTATGTTATTTGTATACAATCTAAAAGAATAAAGTTTGGAAGTGGGATGGGATTGTGAGGGAGGGGTTTCGCTAGAAACGGCCCAGTTAAGCATAATAACGCATTTGTTAGACGAAGTCGCCGTTCTTTATCATTCTAACTGTCTAAAGGAAATTCTCCAAAACACCTTTAACAAAGCAAGTACGATATGTTGGCACGTATAGAATTTACCGAGGAAAAAATCTCGTTTGCTAATCTCGATTTCAGCCTATTACCAATGAAACTGCTGTCGGGTGTTTTTACTTTCGGTTTTACTTGCACATCTTTCTTCCAGATTGTTTACTACAACTTTGAGGCGCCTAGAAATAACGATTAGGCTACACAGAAAAAAAAACATAAACGTACTGTATACACATACCTTTCACATAAATATTAGACGTTCTGCACCGATGAATAAAAACGCAACATCTCACAGTGAAGCGCTGTGCCCGAGTTTGTCTCGTTTGGTCGTAACCACGTGATCTGTGACGTCCGAATCTTGACTCTTTCCGCACACAACCACGTGACTGCTTGAGACTCGTTTGAGACACAAAAGGCCTCGTCTAGTTAGTATAAAGCACACAAAAAACTATGAGCATACAAGCTAGTTATATCGTCAGTTGTCATGAAATTACCAAAAAGACGAATAAAGTTGCAAACTGTGCATGCATGTATATATGCATCACATTAAAGAACGTCTCTCAAATGCATACTAAATTATATTCTGCATTTCGAGATCACAATATAAGGCGCAAGCTGATAGGCTATGGGGTTTTTTATTATTATTTGTAATTTAATGCACAAGTAAATGTGAGCACAGTGCACTTATACTAGAAAATATCCGCTATTTTTTCTCGTTAATTTGTAAAGTAGAAACTAAAATGAAACCATTTAAATGCATAAAATAGCTCATTTTACATTCTGGCATTCATGTGCTGTTGACTTCCGGCCTTTTTCACATTCTTATCACTATCTGCAGGTCTCATCAATGAGTATGCAACGATGGAGAACAAGCTTTATATGAACAACAAAATATTGTTTTGAATGTTATGTTTTAATGCACTCAAACAGAAATACCTAACTGCTCATTCAGGTTCAATAACGGCTAATCTCATTATTTACTACCCATATCAAAATCCATTACATTGGTTAATTTGGGAATATTTTATTCTTTCAGTAGAAGATTGTAAGGACCTCACTGCTTTAGCACATTGTGAATGCTGGTTAAGAGATCTTATTGACTTATTTTATATATCCTATATTAGTGGATTTACACGCTTAAATTGTTCAACTTTTCTTTGTTCACATTGTTTTCAGAGAGGAACGTGCTAAGATATCACTGTGGTTCAGTGAAGATATAAGACATTTGACGGTAAGTTCAGGTGTCAGCCTTTATTTAATATCGTGCCATGTTGTTCTGTGTATTTATAAGTTCGTAACACTGCTGTTGTTCACTGACGAACAAAAACTGACGCATATGAAATGGATTGAAATCGAAAGTGAAAGTAATAACGGACTCAGTTTGATTTCCCTCATGCATTGACGTCAGAATGTCTGTGATTTTCTAATCTTTACCGAAATAATGTCAATCAACAACCTAAGGTATTTCAACTGAAGCTATAGACAATTTAGGTGATGCAACGTGTGTGTAAAATTAGAAAAGAAAACTATTTTAATCCATTTTATGATTGCATGTGTTAATTATGTTCGTATTTTTGATGTTCGCAGAGAACATCCCAACTAACAGGGCAAACGTTCTGGCAATGTTCCCTCAAAGTTTAAAAACAAAAGTCTCGTTTGTGATCAAATTCCTGCCAAATGTATTGTCACAGATCAAAACATAAGGATAAAACCAGAATTTAAAAACGCAAGTAAAAAAATATTGCACAAAACTTAAAAATGAAAGCAAGGTTTTCAGAAAGCAAACAATGGTCACTATTTTTTAACATGAACATATTAATACTTTGAACATATTTGACTTGAGTCTACTTAGAAATAATATATCTTAAGATAAAAATATCTGAGTAAAACTCAACCATTAAAATACCAAAACTAAACTTCTTGCAGATAACAGCTAGTTAATCTGAGCACCCATGCATGCGCAATTGGAGCTAACTAAGAGATTTTCACTGCATCAGCAACTACACAGCTACTGCCTTTAAATAAAGCAATATGAATTATACTATCAGTGTTTCTTGTTCTTCTCCTGGACTGAAGCACACACTCTACTCTTCGGCACAACGGTAACCTCACAAAACTCAAAAAGAAGCTCTTTAAATCCCAACAGAACATTCAACACTAACAGATCTCTCCTGTATCATTGTGTGTCAGAAGCACCATACTGTCCTTGCAAAGTTGGAATTGCCCCACTTTATAGAAACAACCTTTGTGCACAGCATTGTAGTCTACTCTCCCAGGATCAGGAAACAGTCCTCCGTAAAATGCGCTGCACACATCTGAATATTTGTGTTGAAGTGTTCTGGAACAGTGTTGTAAATACAACTTAACCACTGATTTCTAGTCGTGTCCTCTTTTGGAAGTTGCAGTACAGAACCTATAGAATGTTGCGCATGCGCGACTGAACAAATCACTCCCCGAGACGACTCGTTCTTCCCGAGTCACATTAAAGATTCGTTCAAAATGAATGAATCGTTCAAGAACGACTCAACACTAGTCTCTTGAGCATGCGCGTTCTGCGTCCTGAGGATACGCCTTTGTGTAGAAAACGAAAGTAAAGTCAGAATTACAGAATGTAAATTCACATTTTGAAGACTTAAAAAACCTTCATAAATACCACATTACAGTAAGTTCAGTTATAAGATTTTGATATCATGTCATATTATTGTCAAATGTTTATGTATTCGCGTTGCTGTCATGTTGTAAAATTGTAAAATTGGATGATCGGAAATTCATCTTCAGGATTGTAATAATATCGAGCTTTAGGGATTCTGCTTATAGTTAAGATTAATTTACAGGTTCTTTACCGATTATAATAGGCAAAGGTGGGCGTTCAGGTTGATAAGCAGATTTTTGTCTTTGGCTGGTGTTAAACAGTTGTGACTTCTTTGCCATAAGTCAAAGTCAAAAAGTCAAAGTCAAAGTCTGCTTTATTGTCAATTCTGCCACATGTACAGCACATACATACAGAGAATTGAAATTGCGTTACTCTCAGACCCTTGGTGCATACAGTTAACACTTAACACTAACAGTAGACATAATACAGATAAATACAGTTTAAATATATATAAAATACAACCTATACAATATACAAAGGAGATAGAAACCGTGGCATAAGGCACATGGCAGTTAGTGATATAAACAACTGTGAAGATATAACGAGTGTAGTGCAAAAGAGCTTATCAGTCAGTTAAAGTGATAGCCGCCGCGGGTTTTACCTCCCTCGACGTGAGCTCTGTTCGCTCGATAGCATGTTAGCTGGTCGAGCTGAATAGCGCAATCCGGAACGCTGTTGCTGAGCCATGTTTCCGTGAACACAAAAACACAACAGTCTCTTACAGTCCTTTGAGTTGAGCGTAGTAGTCGGATGTAGTCCAGTTTATTGTCCAAAGAGCGTACGTTAGCCAGTACGATGGTGGGGATAGCTGGCTTGTGTGGGTTAGCCGCTAGCCTAGCCCGGATGAGAAAATTATTTTCACAAGAAAAAACATTTAAATATGTCATTTTGATGATCAAAGATAAGTTTTAAGGGATAAAATATTTGACTACAGGGGGACTTTAAAAAAAAAGTATATAAAAAGGATTTCATCACCTGTAACGACAAAAGTATGTTCAACAACAACAACAAAAACATGAAAACATGAAATGTGCAGACAGTTTAATATGAAACTAAATAGCTAACAAATGTCAAACTATAAAATCACTTTATTAAACATTTGTCAGAAGCCTAAAAGCCAGTTATTGATCAGCTATTTAGCATCAGTAAAACAAGTACAATTTTGACAAAACAAGTTGTCTCTTATCTTGCATGCCTGTAGCTGTATTTATTTTTTCATTTGTTTTCTTGTTGTTGTACAGCCATGCAAGAATTCCTGTGGTGAAGGACTTCTAGGTTTTCAGTTGTTAAATTTTGCAAAGGAAAATTTTGGAGTTGACGTCAGTGTCACATAATATTACTCCAGTTCTGCAAAGTGATTTTTATTTACTTAATTATAGCAAACATCTTCATCGAAAGACTGTATGATTTATTGCTATTATGCTGCATATTATTTGGAAGAGCAGCATCTTGAGGAGAAAATGTCATTCAAGTGTTGTACAGTGAATTCAGATGAAACTATCAGCTTGTGAGCGTCAGGCACAATAATATGAGCCCTTTCCCATACTAAAACACAGAACACTTTTAAATGATCTGTTCATCAATAACCTTACGTAACTTGTTTCTTTGATGTCATGTGCAGTGTCAACATATCCTAAATTTGTTCACAGTATGCCTAAGCTATATACTATTACAGATTACAATACTCAAACTATCCTCCTTATTTTTAACGTCAACACAGTGAGGCCATTTGTAACTTAAATGTGCAAGGTTTCCAGTGTCATTCATTTCCAGTTATTTTAGCTGTACAAAAACAGTCCATTTTGCTACTTTATATTGAAAAATGTATTTGTTATCATCATATTTTATTGCATTATCATAATCATAAACAAACTAGTTTTACCATTTACTGCACTTTGTTAGTATAGTAGTTAGTTACCTACAGCGGCTAATGAACCGGAATGTGAGATAGTTTTTTTTTTTTGTTTTTTTGTTTAAACATTGCTTCTGTTTTTCTAAGCATTTCTAACACACAACTGCAAAATATAACCAGATGGGTGAACACACTCAAACTCAGGACTCAAAGACGCAAGATGGCTGAGACAGCATAACACAGATGTCAATCAAATTTATCAAGCATTATTCCAAAACAAAAAAGAATCATCATTATTCATTTTAACATTATTACATTCATTTTAATATTGAAACATCAATATTGTAATAAATAAGATATTTAAGAACTTAGTGGGCCTGTTTTTTATATTGGAAAAACTTAGTACCATGGATGCATAAGTGTGCAATATTCAAATATTTAAAGGGGTCATATGATGCTATGTTAAAGATCATTATTTTGTGTATTTGGTGTAACAGAATATGTTGACATGCTTTAATGTTCA